TGTAGCCACTCTCAGACGTCTTCGCAGGAGACGTCAGTATTGGGTGCACCCGCTGTTCAGGGCCAATTTTGGACTTTATACAAGGATTTGAAGGCCCTTCCAGTTAAGTTATTTTCATGCATCCGTATGTCTATTCAAAAGGTAATAATTGTTGTGTTCCGTGTGTACACCATGGATTTTGACCAAGTGCATAGTGTTTACACCCTTCTCATTCCTGTAATTTTTTTTAATTTTTTGATGCGTTCTTTGGGTTTGCATGCGTTTTTGATGCGTTCCATTTTATTTTTTTTACTGCAACTGAACCGACTGCACTGGAGTGAACAGAGCCCCAGAAATCCCATAGGAAAGCATTGCGATGCGTTTTTGATATTTCATATTGCTATTGATCTGGAGGCCAGCCTGATTCAGACCAGGCAGAAAAAAATATCCCAATAAAACTTTTATTTGAAATCATTATAAAAACTGAGGGTCTAGGTAGGTTTCTACCACATAAATCCACTTTGTGTGCACCAAATGCCTTCACAAATCCAGATACTACCTTGTAATAATACTGGTGACATCATCATTGTGCTGTACATAGACTTTGCAGAGAGCAGAGCTGTGGGAGAAACCTACCAGGCCCTGCCCACTATAGGCTGCCTGCAAAAAAAAAACTACAGAAGGGGGCGGAGACAAGACCATTCACCCTGCACAGAGAGAGGGAAGCACTGATCGGTCTTTATTACAGGAAGGTCCTGCACAGGTAAAGTTTCACACTGGATTAATGCACAGATCTGAACGATATACACAAAAGACACCAAGATTTAAGGAAGAATACAATTGCCTCTAGTATGTAGGCAATATTTCCTAATCCTAGAGTTTAGCTTTAACACGAGAGTAAGAGAGCATTGTAAAAGGAGACATACAAAAATGTTCCGTTAGACTTACCGGTAACGGTATTTCTAGGAATCTTCCAGGACAGCAACCTGAGAGATGATTGGTTCCACCTTCTACAGGAAACACAATTAGCAAAACAGTTAAAAGCCCCTCCCCTTCCCCTCGTACCTCAGTTGTGATAAAAGTAGACTACCACCCCAGTAAACGAGGGGACAACCCAACAATAAATAACATACCATACATCATTCCGGGTGGGAAGTAGGCTTGCTGTCCTGGAAGATTCCTAGAAATACCGTTACCGGTAAGTCTAACGGAACATTTCCCCAATCATCTTCCAGGACAGCAACCTGAGAGGATAAACAAGTACACAAAATACAAACATAAACTTAATGCTTCAATATGGAAGATGGCTTGCTGTATGGTCCTTCAGCTCCCTCTTCACCATTAAATGCCACCTGACAACCTTCCCTTCAATTGTGTCAAAAGGAAAACATGACTTTTCCTCATTCGTTATTGGGTCACAAAGGTGACTATCTATACGACGCAAACGTTCGATAATGGAAAGGTACTTTTTAAATACACCCAGGGCCCATAGGCCTTACCCAGCTTATTTTCCTCCTCATTCGCATTAGTTAAAATTCCACAATGGTCCAAAAAAAAAAAAATCCAGAACATTGTATTTTGGTATAACACTATGAGATTTTTTTTCTTTCACAAGTGCTGTTTCTTGTTATTACTCTGGAGTTCCACTTAGATCCACTTTAAATAATTGTAAACATACAACACCAGACGTTGGCAGTAAAAAGCTAAATTGTATTTTATTACTTAGGTATTTGTGTCAAAGAAAAACAAGCATTTAGCATGCTGCAAAGTCGTCGTCCCCCAAAAAGAAAAAGAGGAACCACTTCAGTATTTACAGGTTATACGCATGACAACTCTCGAGTGAAATTGTTCTTTTATATATACATAAACATATGATAGATAGATATATTTTACACATTTTGACATATTTTACATACATATTTAAATTTCTTTTTACATTTATAGCCGCACAGAAGACGGAACACGCCAGCTCCTGCAGTAAAGTGCTGCGTCTCTTATTTAAACTTTCTCAACAGTGCTCACAAAAACATCCTGTTCCAGCAATTAGCACATTATCACAGATCAAACAAGCAATGTAAAAAGTTACCGGCCGAGACCAGAGAAATTGAGCTCTGAGACAATATGTGAAGGAAACAACTGCACAAAGTCAAGGAAAAAAATTTTGACTCAAAAGCTTGCCGATTATATCTTAAAGTGACACTAAACCCAGGAGTGAAATCTTAAAAATGCATTCAAATACCTCAACTAGTAACAAAAATGTATCTTATTTGTGTATCACTCGGCTGTCGATCCTCAAAACATCTCCGCTCCAAGCTCGTTCCTGTGATGGACTACAATCTCACAATCTACATATTAGTAAACTAAACGTGAGATTGTAGTCCATCACAGGAGCAAACTTGGAGCGGTGGCTACGTTGCAACAACACACAGGGACCATGGGGAACAAAAGTAGCCCCCCTCCAGAAGAAAGGACAGTGTCAGCACCAATTCAGAGATGATTTGAGGATATACAGCCGAGTGATACACAAATAAGATACATTTTTGTTAGTGGTTAAATCTGAAAAATAGATTCAAGTCTCCTTTTTTATTGCCTGATAAAAAAATAAAAAAAAAAGATTTTTCTGCTGTGCATGTACACAATACTGGGATATACAAAGTCACATTCCTTTAGCGGATTTTATTCCCGCCTAAGTCCACATTCACCTCACTTACAGGCACCACTACTACTACATGACACTTCACATCATCCTCACCTTAACCACAGGAGCCGTCACTGCCAAGAATGTTTCATTCCATCCCACACCCTGGAGCTGATCTGTCCCATCACCCTGTGCTGCAGCATGTACCCTTCCTTATGTTTCCACACTGTGCTTTGAATGACTCATGTACACGCTATGAAAAGCAGAAGAGCACACGTATGATCCAGCTTTGGGGTGCTTTAAGATCCGTCTGAACTGCATTTTATCCATTAAAAGAGAACTATAAGGTAAGTGTTTTTCCCCATAGTTCTCTTAAGGGTCAGGTGAGGACATATACTAGCATCCTCCCATCACCCAAAGCCCAGTACTACAGCTCACGGTATACTGAGACTGCCGCAGCCGGTACGGATCCTGACATTACTGTGAGGTCAACCTATGAAATGCAGACCCTGTTTGGTTACTCAAACAGCCGCGGGTGCTGACCAAATACAAAAGCTGGCAGGGGAGAATACTCCATCCACCCTGTTTAGCACGCATGGGGTATGAACATGTGAAATCTACATATGTATGGCTCACATTATAATCTATACAAAAACGGCTTTACTTAACCTTTTACGTAGACCTGGCATTGACACGTCATGCCAGGTAGGGATGAGCTCAGGTTCTGACAAAGCCCAGTACCCAGAAGCAACATGGGGCCATCCGCCGAATCAGCTGCAGGTCCGGCATTCCCTGCCCCGCAGCTGCACATAAACAAAGGGGTGGGACGCATTGCTGACTTCATTGCTCTAATATCGCCATGTGGCCATATAAGGTCAGTGATGCCACTGCATCCCATCCCTTTGCTTACATGCAGCCGCGGGCACAGCTGATTGAGCGGCAAAGGAAGGGGCTTCCTTCTGTGTTTGGAGGAGGTCAGGTTCAGATTGAACTCATCCCTAATACCAAGTCACTGACTTCAATGCTTTGCATGACAGACTCACTTGTCCCCCTGCTCACTAATACTTCCCTTTTCAGTGACCCCTCTCCGTTCCTTCCTCTGTCACAGCCCATAATGCCCAGTGACAGCTAATGTCAGAGGATGGAGTGAGTGGTCACATGGGAGGAGGTCACATTGTCTTGTGACGTCTGAGGTAAAGGAAAGAGCGGTAGGGATCACTGGGAAGGTGACGGGTCGAGGTGATGGTCACAGACATTGGAACTGAATGTTGCAGGTCAGAGATGTATAATGTATTAAAGTCAATGGGTTAGCATGTCCCCAGCATGTCCATAAGAAGGTCAGCGATGGAAGTCCCCACACATCACCTCAGACACGTCTCCTCCAACCCTGGAATGTCATGTTCCTGAATGTCAATGACACAGAATAATCATTCATATACTTCTCCCAACACTGCCAGAGACACCGAGCTCCCCCATATACACCCCTCCAGGTACTGCCTGACAGAGAGCTCCCCCATATACACCCCTCCAGGTACTGCCTGACAGAGAGCTCCCCCATATACACCCCTCCAGGTACTGCCTGACAGAGAGCTCCTCCATATACACCCCTCCAGGTACTGCCTGACAGAGGGCTCCTCCATATACACCCCTCCAGGTACTGCCTGACAGAGGACTCCCCCTTATACACCACTCCAGGTACTGCCTGACAGAGGACTCCCCCTTATACACCCCTGAAGGTACTTCCTGAAAGTGATCTACCCCAGATACACCCCTCCAGGTCCTGCCAAGCAGTGAACTACCCCAGATACACTCCTCCAGATACTGTATGAAACTGGAGCTCCTCCATACAGACCCTGCCGGGCACTGCCCGTCAGCGAGCTCGCCTCATACACCCTTCATGTGCACCCAGACAGACTCCTACCCCCTCATACACCCTCCAGGTGCTCCCTGGCAGGCAACTCTCCATTATACACCCTCAATGTAAACCCTGCCAGATTACCCCCTCTAACACCCTCCATGCGCTCCCTGGCAGTCAGCACCCCTCCCTCATACACCCTCTAAGTGCTCCCTGGCAGACATCTCCCCCTTGCACACCCTCCAGGTGCTTCCTGGCAGACAGCTCTCCCTTATACACCCTCTATGTGCTCCCTGGTAGTCAGCACCCCTCCCTCACACACCCTACATGTGCTCCCTGGCAGACATCTCCCCCATCACACGCCCTACATGTGCTCCCTGGCAGACAGCCCCCCTCACAAACCCTCCTTGTGCTCCCTGGCAGACAGACCCCCTCCCTCATACACCCTCCATGTGCTCCCTGGCAGACAGCCCCCCTCCCTTATACACCCTCCAGGCGCAGTCGGAGCACAGCCCAGAGCACCCTCACCTTTGAGCGGCGGCAGGGGGGAAAGCTCCACCAGAGCCCCCTGCCCGCGGAACTGCGACGAGCCCTGCGACCTCCTCTGCCTCTGCGCCTTCCGCACCGACTTCCTCGTGAAGCCGTCCACTTTCTCGGCGGCGGAGATGGCCGACATGTCGAGAGAAGGAGAACGTGTGCGATTCCCGGCCCTTCTAGGTGCTCTCCGTCACACTTTCCCCCGCCATCTTCCCCCGGGGAAACTTTTCCGTCACAGCGCAGCCTCCATGGGCCGCGCGCTCTGCCGGGAGACCTGTGGCGGCGATTAGGCTTCTGCTTCTTCTCTCGGAGCGCCGGACACTGACTGACAGGCCGCCCGACCAATCAACGCACCGGAATCAACGTGACGGCTCCGAGCTCTCGAAGCGTTCCGGAGCTGGAAGTAATTTACAGTCCTTGGCCAACAGAGGGCAGCAGCGCGCCGCGGAGGAGAGGGGCGGGGCTTCACTGCTTACGTAACATCAATGAAAAAATTACTTGAAAAGTAGTAGGCGGGCTGTGTTGTCATGGGAACTCAGCGCTTTATCCACAGGTGGCACAGCCAATGACAGGCTTGCATTAAGACTTCCTGGGAATTCTATATAAAACTAGTAATATGGGTTGTTGGGCTGAATGTAATTTGTGATGTGAAGAATTTATAACATAGTGACATGCATTACTGCTCAATCAGTCAATATTTTAGTTACAAGTATTATTTGGTCATGGGTAGGTGGACAGAGTTTGAAATGATAGACTACGTTCACGCTACATGTCTCAACCTGTGTTTTTCTGTCACTGCTAGAACACATAGAATCAAATGTTCAAACCACAATGCTGGAGTGATGTGCGGTGCAGAAAAATGCAAATATGACGTGTGCTGGAAGGGCACTGCAGCACACCAGAGACCTTAAATGGAATGTCCACTTTGTACACTGCTAATAAAGTTCCCAAAAAACAACAACAACACAAGGCACCATAGCTTACCACCGACACCCAGCGGACTCTATCTGCCTGGTAAAACACCACATTTTACCAAGCAGCTAGTGCGAACGCAACCTAAAATGTATGTAAACCCTAAGGCCTCGTGCACACAGGTGCATGGGCAGGGCCGAATCTACCATTAGGCAGAGTAGGCATGTGCCTACATGCTCCCTCCTTAGAGGCGCGCCATGCAGGTACCTACTCTGCCTAAGTGTTGTGTCAAGATGCAACAGCAGCAATAGCAAGGAGGGTGCATTCTGCACAAAATGCACCCTTCTGCTCCAAGACCAGCAGTATCTACAGGAACTGCCGGCTTTCCGCAAACGCAGGGGAAGGACCTCTAAATTACAGACTTACATGACGCCGGCGTCCTTTCCTACATATGTGAAAGCTGGTGGGTCCCACAGCAGGTAAGGGCTCTGGCACAGCTTAACAGATGTCTATTCATGCCTACAGGTGCCCAAAATTGAAATCTCACCCCGTGCATAGGGGCAATACACATTTGGCTTTATTTCCCTCCCCAGGACGCCACAGATGCTCTATACAGTAACCCATAGACATAAATGGGTGTACAGTGAGTACTGTATATGCCAATACTTTCGTATTGGCGTATGCAAATACGAACGTATGCCATGAGCGCAGACTGTCTTTGTTCAGATGCAGACTTACATGACGCCGGCGTCCTTTCCTACATATGTGAAAGCTGGTGGGTCCCACAGCAGGTAAGGGCTCTGGCACAGCTTAACAGATGTCTATTCATGCCTACAGGTGCCCAAAATTGAAATCTCACCCCGTGCATAGGGGCAATACACATTTGGCTTTATTTCCCTCCCCAGGACGCCACAGATGCTCTATACAGTAACCCATAGACATAAATGGGTGTACAGTGAGTACTGTATATGCCAATACTTTCGTATTGGCGTATACAAATACGAACGTATGCCATGAGCGCAGACTGTCTTTGTTCAGGGCATACATTCATATGAATCTGCTAGTTTACAAATGTACCAGTGTACACCTACTATACAGCTCCTGATGTTTATAGGTTGCTTTACACAGCATCTGCGGCCCAAATATGACATGTACTGCCTCTATGGGTCTGTGTGCATGAGGCCTTACAATGGATTTTCTTTATTTGCTCCCTTTTGGTGTGTTAAATGCACCATTGGCAACATTTCATTATAACTGTTTGATAAGTCCAAAAATAGCTGTTGATCATGTCAGAAGTTCAGAGCTGTTCTGCGTCATCTGTAGACTTGCTGTGTTATCTCAAGGAACCCTCCTAATTCTTATCTTGGTCTACAGATTATGTTGTACAGATATCTAAGTTATAGAGATCTGAGAGTGGGGGGTGGTTGAGTAGTTTATCAAAAGACAATGTCATCTCAAAGTCCAAATTCCATTCGCACTGCCACGGTCTCAAAATCACAAGGTATATGTAGTGCCCAGGTGTCCACACGGATGGCGCCGTGCAAAACACTAATAGTAAATAAAAGTAAATCACCGGCACACACTTGAAGGGTTTTTAAAGTATTGATATGTTTATTCAATACCCAATGTCACATACTGTCATACGGTGCTAACGTTTCGGGATCCACAGTGATCCTTCATCAGAGCCACAGTGACACGAACTCGCTCTGATGAAGTGTCACTGTCGCTCTGATTAAGGATCCCTGTGCGACCCGAAAACGTTAGCACCGTATGACAGTATGTGACATTGGGTATTGAATAAACATATCAATACTTTAAAAACCCTTCAAGTGTGTGCCGGTGATTTACTTTTATATACAGACAATGTCATCTGACATCACTCAGGCCACAAAATGCTGTGTGTTGTCATCCCACAACAAAAAATAAGGAGCTGAGAGCATTTCTGTAAGATCAACAGGCGTTTGTCTGTACTCTGATCTGTGGCTTTACATGGAGAAAGCATGGTGAAATGAACATACACTGAGTGGCCAGATTATTATGACCACCTGACGTTTGTAGGCAAATTAGCTATAATTTCACGCTGAAGTTGCTAGAGGGCCAGACCATTATAAATAGGGGGGCAGGTTGTTTACCTCGACAGTAGAAGTGCTTTTTTCTGAAGATATGGGTAAACAACGCGATTTAACAGCCTTTGAACGTGGGATGATTGTTGGCGCTCGGAGCCATGGAGCGAGTATCAGCAAAACAGCAGAATTCGTTAAATGTTCAAGAGGGGCTCATTGTTAAAGTGTTTAAAGACTGGACTGTCAGCCGAAAATCTGGGTCTGAACGTGCGAATTGTGGCCGTCAGCAACTAGTCAATGTTAGGGCAGAACGGAGAGTGGCAAGACTGGTACAAGACAACAGAAGGGCAACAGTGCCGTGTCAGATTCCTCGCATCACCTTTCAACATCTCGTGGAGTCATCTCGTGGCCCAACGAAGTACTGATGGGGTGGTCATAATAATCTGGCCACTCAGTGTATATTGCTGAAATTTAGCAAATATATATATTTTTTTATTTTGCCCATTCACAATGTTGCACTGTGTTAGCACACACATGTTAACTCGTGTTAAGTTAGCACATTCAATTGAATGCACTCTTTTTGGCAATACAGTGCCCCACAAAGCATAGTGGTGCATTACTGTATGTTGTGGTGCACTGCAATGTACACTACAGCTGTTGGCAAAGAGCCATGGGGTGCCATTCAGAATGCCCTGCAGTGTGATGGTGTGAACGGGCTCTTACGGTTTAGATGGCAAAGCTAGAGGTCGCTTTGCATGGTGGGATAAGAAAGAGGTGGTGGAGTCGTAGCTGTTGCTGGACCTGGTGGCGTAAAAGGTGATCATAGCAGATGCAGAAGACAGAGAGGAGCAGTAGAAAACCATGGAACACTGGGAGAGATGGCAAAACAGGAGCTGACCATGAGACCAGTGAGGAAACAAAGAAGAGGATAGCATAAGATGATCAAGGACCAGGGAGAGAAAGGAGGCAGACAAGAGATGACCATGAACTGAAGGAGAAGGAAGAGTGAGTCTGATCAGGGACAGGCAAGAGGGGGCAAAGCATAAGTTTGGGTGTGCCATTACACCTACTTTGCAGTTGTAGGAATATTTTTGTGGATGAACAACTGGGCATTTACCTTACAAATAAAGTGTGGTGGCTACCCTGGGACCATATATATATATATAGATACTGTATAGGAACAGAGTCACTTTAACAAATAACATAGGTAATTGTAGGCAGATTGTGGTGCAGGTTCATTACCTGTGCTAGATACCCTTTAGGGTCTAACCTCCTCCCCACTACTGTTCACCACCCAGGTCGCTAGCAAAAATGAATAACATCCAAATTGTTGGCACTTGAACACTGCTTGGTATGCGTCCCCCCAATGCTTAGGCCTAGCCATTGGTAACTCAGGCCCCAAGTACTGCATTATGGGATGGAAGGGTGCATGTTAGCTGCCCCCCCCCCCATTACTTTAAAGTACTATGGTTTTAAAACATGTGATGGAGAGGATAGAACGGAAGGGCTGCGGAGCTGGGGGAAAGTTATATTTAGACGTGCTGTACAACTACTATAACTGGAAAATGCAGGTAACATTATAAAAATGGAGCTTGATGGCACAATATTTATCTAACTGAATATTTATTTCTGTGCCTTGAATTTTGCTTTAATGCCACAGCTTCTGTTCTTATGTCAAATCCTACTAGTCACAATACACATGACTCTGGGTATGACGAAAATGATAATGTACTGGTGGACAGGATGCATCTAAAGAGGAAGGCGGTGTTGAAGAAGATACATTGATGTAACACATAATCTGGAGGATAGCCAGCTTGTAAAGTGGGCACTGTTGCTGCTTCTGCCTCTCTCTGCCATGCATCAGGTCATGTTGAAGCTGTGGGACTGGAAAAGTTCGTATTGATGGTATGTGGAGAAGGTTTGTACATTTTCTTTTCCCACATAAATAATTTTGTTCCCTTATGATCCCCTTCACTTCAGTGACATGAGAGACGCTTTTCCAAAGCAGAATCTAAAGTTTATTTGCAAAAAGTACCGATGATCAATGTTTTTTATGACACCGGTGAAAAGTGTTTACGGCAATTATGAGATTCATGCAAATTGCAATTCAGCCTCCTCGTCTCCTCTCTGTGGGATTTTTACTGGCATACTTTTACAGAAGATAAATGTGCTGCTTTCATATTTCTCTGAATTATTCACTGATCTGTATGCACCCCTGTGGAATACTAACAAGAGACGATGGAAAACACTGAATAAACACATTAACACAGGCAGATGTTTGAAATAAACAAAAGTTTTGTGATAGTACAATTGTCTACTATAAAATTATTTTAAAGCTGAGCTGAAGGCAATCAGCTAAATGCACAGATGAAATACATACTGTATATGAGAGCTGTTGTACCTGCTAAATGATTT